GACAGAGTCTTGCTCTGTTACCCAGGCTGGAGTGCAGTGATGTGATCTCAGCTCACTGCAACCTCTGCCTCCCAGGTTCAAGTGATTCTCCTATCTCAGCCTCCTGAGTAGCTGGGATTACAGGCGAGCACCACCACACCTGGCTAATTTTTTATATTTTTGGAAGAAACAGGGTTTCACCACGTTGGCCAGGCCTGTCTCGAACTCCTAACCTCAAGTGATCGCCCACCTCGGGCTCCCAAAGTGCTGGGATTACAGGCGGAAGCCACTGTGCCCAGTCTATTTGCATTATTATTGTCATCACACTATGCATCATTATTATCGGTGCTGACCACCCGCCATGCACTGTGGCATCCTTTGGGCATAACTACATTTAATCTTTAAACAATCCTGTAAGGCATTTGATCCTCTAAGGCCCCATTTGCCCGAGGAGAAAACCGAAGCTCAGAGAGGGAAGAGTCTTGCCAGAGGTGGCTTTTGGAACCGCGTCGTATACAACCAAATGATTTCCTTGGTTTGCAAATCCAGGTGCCTGTGTTATCCCAGCATGGCGCTGCAACACACACACACACACACACACACACCCCCTTGCAAAGTTGTGTAGTCACACTAGAACCACCACCACTGGGAGCTGTGTGACCATCTCATGTGATTGCTTGGTCGTTCTGTCCTCACACCCTTCCCTCTCCCCAGGCTATGCTGTCAGACAATGAGGTGGGCATCCAGGCGGGAGAACCAGACCCCCCAGAGGAGCCCCTCACCTTGCAAGCATCTGTGCCCCCCCACCAGCTTCGGCTGGGCAGCCTCCATCCTCACACCCCTTATTACATCCGTGTGGCATGCACCAGCAGCCAGGGCCCCTCATCCTGGACACACTGGCTTCCTGTGGAGACGCCGGAGGGAGGTAAGAAAGGCTGGGGAGGGAGACGTCACCACTACCCCACTGGACTTTGCTTACATCAGTGCCACCCCCATTGTCCCCTTTCACCCCTTTACCCCTCATGGCCTCAATCTCCTTCCCGTCCAATCTCTGACCCCTCAGCAGCACTGCCCACTGGCCTCTCTCCCAGCCCTTCTGTCCCCTGTGCTTCCGCTCATGGGAGGCCTCCACGAGTTGCCCACGTGCGTGCCCTTGGCACCCTGCACCCATTTCCTGGGAACAGGGGAGGGGGTCAGGAAGAGGTGGGGGTGCCAGCTTCCCCTCTTCCCTGTCCTCCAGTGCCCCTGGGCCCCCCTGAGAACATTAGTGCCACGCGGAATGGGAGCCAGGCCTTCGTGCATTGGCAGGAGCCCCGGGCGCCCCTGCAGGGTACCCTGTTAGGGTACCGGCTGGCGTATCAAGGCCAGGACACCCCAGAGGTGGGTGCTGCTGGTGGGACTGGAGTGGAGTGGCTGGCGGGGGAGGGAGACAGGGAGGAGAAGATATCAGGGCAGACATGGACAGTTGTGCACGTTGGGTAGTACGCAATTGCTCTACGCCTAGAGGGGCACGTTCAGGGAAGGTTCATATTCACATTCTGGGGAGAATAAGGGGGTCTAGGGGAGGGCATGGGGAATGGCTATTTTTGAACCACTGCAAAAGCATTTCAGCAGACTCGTATTTACTATAACGATTTCACAGCAGATAGTTGTATAGCACCTTGGGGAAGGGGTACCTTTTCCCAATTTGCACAAAGGCACTGCTATCAGGGCTAGCAATACCCTGACGTAGGGAGAGAGGATGGAAAGGGAAGCTAGAAGGGGATGGAGGGATACAGGTTAAAGGATGAGGATGAGAGATGAAGGGGAGGACAAGGAAGGATGAGGAGTTGGAGGATGGGGAGAGGGCTTTGAGAAAGAGATGGGGCATTGAGCCCAAGAGTGAAGGCTTAACAGCTGGGGGTGAGGCTCTACCCTGATGCCACTTCTGGACCCCCTAGGTGCTAATGGACATAGGGCTAAGGCAAGAGGTGACCCTGGAGCTGCAGGGGGACGGGTCTGTGTCCAATCTGACAGTGTGTGTGGCAGCCTACACTGCTGCTGGGGATGGACCCTGGAGCCTCCCAGTACCCCTGGAGGCCTGGCGCCCAGGTAAGTCCAAAGCCATGCCCAATCTGCTTTAACCCTATTTCTCCCTGACAGCCCTGACTTACTCCCTGTACCTTTCAGAGTTACCGCAACCTAGGCCCTGTTCCTACCCCGAGCCTTACCGAGAGCCGCCCTCACTCCCTTACCCATGCCATGGCCTCACTCCTTTACCCGTGCCACACCCTCACTCCCTTACCTGTGCCACGCCAGTCTTGTCCTCTCTGAGCACGTCTCCTCTGTCCTTTCTTCTCACAGGGCAAGCACAGCCAGTCCACCAGCTGGGTAAGGGCTTCCACACCCCGTCTCCTCCCTCCCTCCCCTCAACACCTAGTGGGGGTGCTGTCACCATACATACTCATTGCACATCCCTTTCATGTTTCTCGAACTCATCACTCTAACTTACTTCTTGAGTTTGTGTGGTCCTTGATGGAGGTGCCTATAATGGCCTAGCATAGCACATTGTAGGTATTCAGGGAATGACAGGTGGGTGGGTGGGTGGATGGATGAACAAATGGATGGATGGATATATGGAGGGTGGATGGGTGGGTGGGTCAATGGATGAATAGAGGGTGGATAGGTGGGTGAACAGATAAATGACTGGATGGTGAGTGGATAAATGGATGGGTAGACGGATGGGTGGATGGATGGATGGATATATAGAGGGTGGATGGGTGGGTGGGTCAATGGATTAATAGATGGGGTGGATAGGTGGATGAATAAAAGATGACTGGGTGGTGAGTGGATCCATGAATGGGTAGATGGGTGGATGGATGGATGGTTGGATAAATGGATGGATGGACAGATGGATGGATTTGTGAGTGGATGAATGGATGAAGGGATGGGTAGAAAGGTGGATGGATGGAGGAATGAGGTATCCTCCTCACATCCATCCCTCTCAAATATTTCTCTAACAATTCTCAAACATTCCTCCTACACTCATTGTCTCCTCTGGGCACTATTACAGCCCACTCTTGTAACTCAACCCACTAGCCTTCAGTATTCCTCACATCCCTTCCTGCATTTCTTCACATACCCTTTCCAAGCTCATTCCACCCTCCTTTCACATACATCCCATTATAATCCATTCCTCCCACATGAATCCCAAGGCCCATTGCACAACCACACTTCTCATTCACAAACTCTGCACACCTTGTACGCACTTACCATACCTTTCACATTGCAAACACTGAAAAACATTGTCCACAACTTTCCCACACCTGATTCTCCTTGCATGCTTACCCCACACTCCATAGACATCATTCCCTCACCCTTCACTAATCCCAACCCATCTCACTCTGCACACTCACCCTGAACCCCTTGCACACTCAGCACATAACGATCTTTATTTCTTACACACTCCATTCCACCCCTGCCCTTTTTATACCCCCTTTCTGTGCACCCCATACTCCTCATCTGCCCTTCTCACATCTTTTGCATGCTCACTGCACACTTCTGTCACACTGCAATTACATCCTTAAAGTTCCTTGCTCACTCCTTGTATCTAAGACTTCATGAATACTCTTCCCACTTCACACACCCCCAACTTTTCCAGCAGCCATTCAACCCTGTATATGCTTATCATATCCCTTTGGATATTTATTTCACCCTCATTCCTTGCTTTATGGAAACCCTTGTGGCCGGGTGCAGTGGCTCACGCCTGTAATCCCAGCACTTTGGGAGGCCTGAGACAGGTGGATCACCTGAGGTCAGGAGTTCAAGACCAGCCTGGCCAGCATGGCGAAAACCCATCTCTACTAAAAATACAAAAATTAGCTGGGCGTGGTGGTGCGAGCCTGTAATCCCAGCTACTCGGGAGGCTGAGGCACAAGAATTGCTTGAACCTGGGAGGCGGAGGTTACAGTGAGCCAAGATCACGCCACTGTACTCCAGCCTGGGCAATAGAGCAAGACTCTGTCTCAAATAAAAAAAAAAAAAAGAAAGAAAAGAAAAAAAAAATTAGCCAAGTGGCACAGACCTGCAGTCCCAGCTACTCAGGAGACATGGTGAAATCCTGTCTCTACCAAAAAAAGAATACAAAAATTAGCCGGGCATGGTGGTGCACACCTGTAATCCCAGCTACTTGGAAGCGGAGGCAGGAGATTTGCTTGAAACTGGGAGGCAGAGGTTGCAATGAGCTGAGATTGGGCCACTGCACTCCAGCCTGGGTGAAAGAATGAGACCCTGTCTCACAAAAAAAAAAAAAAAAAAAAAAAAAACAGAAAAAAAAAAGAGAGAAAGAAAATCCTTTTGTAGTCATTGCATTCTCCTCAAAAGATATTCCTGGCCGGGCGCGGTGGCTCAAGCCTGTAATCCCAGCACTTTGGGAGGCCGAGACGGGTGGATCACGAGGTCAGGAGATCGAGACCATCCTGGCTAACACAGTGAAACCCCGTCTCTACTAAAAATACAAAAACTTAGCCGGGCGAGGTGGCAGGCGCCTGTAGTCCCAGCTACTCGGGAGGCTGAGGCAGGAGAATGGCGTGAACCCGGGAGGCGGAGCTTGCAGTGAGCTGAGATCCGGCCACTGCACTCCAGCCTGGGTGACAGAGCGAGACTCTGTCTCAAAAAAAAAAAAAAAAAAAAAAAAAGATATTCCTTAGCCCTTCATTCACCAGCCTCGCCCTCCGTGCACACGCTTCATGCACCGTCCTACACTGCAAGGATCTCCTTCCCCACTCACCTGTTTATCTATACTCTAGTCCACCCTCCTTGCACAATCATCACATTTCTCACACTAACCTATGCTACTTGAGGTTTCTCCACACCCATCTCATGTTCATCTAGCCCTCCTGGCACACTCATAACCTATTCCACACATCTCTCTCTCCCATTCCACACTCAATGCACACTCCTCAAATATCCATTCCACTCTTCTGTTTTTTTGGATCTTGGTGGGGTAATATGTGGTAGCTTAAAGTAAGGAAAACTACAAACGCCCAAACAGGGACTTGAACCCTGGACCACCAGGTTAAAAGGCTGATGCTCTACCAACTGAGCTGTGCTGGCACTTGCTCTTTTTTTTTTTTTTTTTTTTTTTTTGAGATGGAGTCTCGCTCTGTCACCCAGGCTGGAGTGCAGTGGCGCGATCTCAGCTCACTGCAACCTCTGCCTCCCAGATTCAAGCGATTCTCCTGCCTCAGTTTCTGAGTAGCTGGGATTACAGGTATGCACCAGCACCCCAGCTAATTTTTGTATATATATGTCTTTCAAGTAGAGACAGGGTTTCACCATGTCTGCCAGGCTGGTCTTGAACTCCTCGCCTCAAGTAACCCGCCCGCCTTGGCCTCCCAAAGTGTTGGGATAACAGGCGTGAGCCACTGCACCTGGCCTCCATCCCACTCTCAACTCACCCATCCTACAACTTTCACACACTCCTGCCTTAACATGCACTTGTATCACATCCATTGCATACCCTGTCCAGCCCAGCCTATTCAGATATGTGAATGCATCCATCACACACCGCATCAAGTATGTGCACATCTTTACCGAGGCCTTCTGCCTCCCTCCAACATCATGCCTTTGGGTCCCAGAGAGCTGGATCCAAGGCCTCATCCATGACCTGTTCCTCGTACCCCCGATAGTGAAGGAAACTTCAGCTCCTGCCTTCTCGTGGCCCTGGTGGTATATACTGCTAGGAGCAGTCGTGGCCGCTGCCTGTGTCCTCATCTTGGCTCTCTTCCTTGTCCACCGGCGAAAGAAGGAGACCCGTTATGGGTATGTTGGAACCACATGGGGAGGCTGTGTGGCCTGGGATGGAGAGGCTGGAGGCAGGGAGGCCAGTGAGGAGGCTGGTGCAGGAGGAGTGATGACCAAGAATTGGAATGAGGGCAAGGGAAGCCAGGCGCGGTGGCTCACGCCTGTAATCCCAGCACTTTGGGAGGCTGAAGCGGGTGGATCACTTGAGGTCAGGAGTTTGAGACCAGCCTGGCCAACATGGCGAAATCCTGTCTCTACTAAAAAATACAAAAATTAGCCGGACGTGGTGGCACACGCCTGTGGTCCCAGCTACTTGGGAGGCTAAGGCACAGAAATCACTTGAACCCAGGAGATGGAGGCTACAGTGAGCTGAGATCGCACCACTGCACTCCAGCCTGGGTGACAGAGTGAGACCCTGTTTCAAAAAAAAGAATGAGGGCGGGCCGGGCGCGGTGGCTCAAGCCTGTAATCCCAGCACTTTGGGAGGCCGAGACGGGCGGATCACGAGGTCAGGAGATCGAGACCATCCTGGCTAACACAATGAAACCCAGTCTCTACTAAAAATACAAAAAAATTAGCCGGGCGAGGTGGCGGGCGCCTGTAGTCCCAGCTACTCGGGAGGCTGAGGCAGGAGAATGGCGTAAACCCGGGAGGCGGAGCTTGCAGTGAGCCGAGATAGCGCCACTGCACTCCAGCCTGGGCGACAGAGCGAGACTCCGTCTCAAAAAAAAAAAAAAAAAAAAAAGAATGAGGGCAAGGGGGTGTGTGGAGTGAACGGAAGGCAGAAGGTAGCTGTCCAAGACATGCTCAGCAAATGCTAGCAGAGAGGGCAGGCAGGGCTTGAGGCTGAGATGGTACTTGCTCAACTGCTGGTTGGGGAGGGGGTTCCACATGGTTTTTCCTTGCCCTCACCTACTCCCCCGCCCCCCCCAGAGAAGTGTTCGAGCCAACAGTGGAAAGAGGTGAACTGGTAGTCAGGTACCGCGTGCGCAAGTCCTACAGTCGCCGGACCACTGAAGCTACCTGTAAGTGAACCCTGTGCCCCACTGCCCTGGCCTGGAGCTAAAGGCTATAGAGAATCTGACCTGCTGGGCTTCTATAGATGTATCAGCCAAACGTTTCTGAAGGCCTTGGGATACTAGCATGGCAGAATCACAGCCCCTAGAAATAACAGATTTGTGGAACCACAGAGAACTTTCAAGGAATAGAATCTTAGACACAGTAAATCTTAGAAACACCAAGGCTAGGTGTGGTGGCTCATGCCTGTAATCCTAGCACTTTGGGGGGCCGAGGTGGGAGGATCACTTGAGCCCAGGAGTTCGAGACCAGCCTGGGCAGCGTGGCGAAACCCTGTTTCTACCAAAAAAAAAAAAAAAAAGCCAGGTATGGTGGCATTCCCCTATAGTCTCAGATACTCCGGAGGCTGAGGTAGGAGGATCACCTGAGCCCAGGGAGGTCGAGGCTGCAGTAAGCCATGATCACACCACTGCACTCCAGCCTGGGTGACAGAGCAAGACCCTGTCTCAAGAAAGAAAAATAAATAAATAAATGAAAGAAAAGAAACACCAAACCTCAGAGCCATTGGATCTTAGAAGATGCAGTGATGATGCTAATGATGAAGATAATGACAATCACGAAGAAATGATGATGATGAAATAATGTTGAGATTAGATGGTGATGATGTGATAATAATCACAGGCAACCCTAGCACTACCTACGTGACAGGCTCCATTCTAAGCATTCTACATGTATCATTTAACCCTCAGAGCAACCCAAGGACACGGGTTTCTTTTTTCTTTTTTTTTAGACAAAGTCTCGCTCTGTCACCCAGGCTAGAGCACAGTGACACAATCTCAATCTCAGCTCACTGCAACCTCCACCTCCCGGGTTCAAGCAATTCTCATGCCTCAGCCTCCCGAGTAGCTGGGATTACAGGCACATGGCACCACGCCTGGCTAATTTTTGCATTTTTAGTAAAGATGGGGTTTTACTAACCCCGTCTTTGTTGGCCAGGCTGTTCTTGGAATTCCTGGTCTCAAGTGATCAACCTGCCTTGGCCTCCCAAAGTGCTGGGAGAATAGGCGTGAGCCACCACGCCTAGCTGGAGGTGGGTTTCTTATCACCTTCACTTCACAGATGAGGCAGCTTTGGAGCAGAGTGATTAAGTCACTTGCCCAAGGCCACACAGCTTGTAAATTGGATAGCTGGGATTTGAACCCAGGCACTTTTGCTCTGAAGTCTATACTTTTTTTTTTTAGACAGAATCTTGTTCTGTCACCTAGGCTGGAGTGCAGTGGCATGATCTCGGCTCACTGCAACCTCCGCCTCCTGGATTCAAGTGACTCTCCTGCCTCAGCCTCCCGAGTAGCTGGGACTATAGGCACATGCCAAAACGCCTGGCTAATTTTTGTGCTTTTAGTAGAGACAGGGTTTCACCATATTTGCCAGACTGGTTTTGAACTCCTGACCCCAAGATCCACCCACCTCGGCCTCCCAAAGTGCTGGGATTACAGGCATGAACCACCGCGCCCAGCCTGAAGTCTATACTCTTTTTTTTTATTTTTTATTTTTATTTTTTTTTGAGACGGAGTCTCGCTCTGTCGCCCAGGCTGGAGTGCAGTGGCTGGATCTCAGCTCACTGCAAGCTCCGCCTCCCGGGTTTACGCCATTCTCCTGCCTCAGCCTCCCGAGTAGCTGGGACTACAGGCGCCCGCCACCTCGCCCGGCTAGTTTTTTTGTATTTTTAGTAGAGACGGGGTTTCACCATGTTAGCCAGGATGGTCTCGATCTCCTGACCTTGTGATCCGCCCGTCTCGGCCTCCCAAAGTGCTGGGATTACAGGCTTGAGCCACTGCGCCCGGCCTAAGTCTATACTCTTAACTGCCACACTCTACTACCTCTTGGAATTATAGATTGGTAGAGAGATAGAATCGATCTTGGCCTGAAAAGTTATATGCATATACTCTACACCCTTATATTTTTGAAATAATAAAATCTTAGAACTATAGACTCTCCATTAGAAGACTGGAAAGTCATGGAAGGTCTCAGCTAAGGAGGGGATCTCAGAGGCCCAGTCAAATCTCTTCTTTTGGCCAGGCGCAGTGGCTCACGCCTGTAATCCCAACACTTTGGTAGGTCTAGGCAGGCAGACACTTGAGGTCAGGAGTTCGAGACCAGCCTGGCCGGCATGGCAAGACCCTGTCTCTACTAAAAATACAAAAATTAGCCAGACGTGGTGGTGCACATCTGTAATCCCAGCTACTCGGGAGGCTGAGGCAGGAGAATCACTTGAATCCGGAAGGTGGAGGTTGCAGTGAGCCGAGATGGTGCCACTGCACTCCAGCCTGGGCGATAGAGAGAGACTCTGTCTCAGGAAAAAAAAAAAAAAAAAGAATCTCAGGCTAGGCGCGGTGGCTCATGCCTGTAATCCCCAGCACTTTGGGAGGCCAAGGCGGACAGATCACGAGGTCAGGAGTTCAAGATCAGCCTGACCAACATGGTCAAACCCCATCAAAAATTAGCCAGGTGTGGTGGTGCACGCCTGTAGTCCCAGCTGCTTGGGAGGCCGAGGCAGGAGAATTGCTTTAACCTGGGAGGCAGAGGTTGCAGTGAGCCGAGATCGGGCCACTGCACTCCAGCTTGGGTGATAGAGCAAGACTTTGTCTCAAAAAAAAAAGGAGCTCATCTTTCAGTTAGGGAAACAGAAATTCAGAAAGAAAATGGAAGAGCTAGGTCTCTTCCTAGCACACAACGAGAAAGCCACCAGGGCCCCAGGGGGATGTTTGGAAAGGGCTGGGAAAGACATTTATTTAAGAAGAGAAGGAAGAAGCAACGATGTTCCGGTGATTTAACTGAGTAACATACAGCAGCCATTCTCAGGGTGTGAGCCTGGTCTCCTGTGGTCCCCGAGACCTTTGCAGGGGGCCCATAAGGTCAAATCTATTTTCATACTATTACCAAGACATTATTTGCTCTTCTGCTTTCTCATTCTCTCACGAGCATTCAGTGCAGTTTTCCAGAGGCTCCCTGATGTGGGATGATGTCATCCATCACTCTGACAGCTGATGGACCTTGTATATTCTTGTTTTAAAAATCTATCAGGCTGGGCGCGGTGGCACACGCTTGTAATCCCACCACTTTGGGAGGCCAAGGCGGGCAGATTGCTTGAGGTCAGGAGTTTGAGACCAGCCTGGACAACATGGTGAAACCCCATTTCTACTAAAATACAAAAATTTTAGTATTTTTATATACTAAAATACAAAAATTTTAGTATACAAATTTTTGTATGTGTGTGGTGGTGCATGCCTGTA